TATGTATATATATATATATATATATATATATATATATATATATATATATATATATATATATATATATATATACATATATATATATATATATATATATATATATATATATATATATATATATATATATACATACATATATATATATATATATATATATATATATATATATATATATATATATATATATATATATATATATATATATATATATATATATATATATATATATATATATATATATATATATATACATATATATATATATATATATATATATATATATATATATATATATATATATATATATATATATACATATACATATACATATATATTATATATATATATATATATATATATATATATATATATATATATATATATATATATATATATATATATATATATATGCATGTATATGTGAACGTGTGCGTGGTGTTTATGGGTATGACTGCTTTGTAACACGTTCTTCCTCGCTCCCCGCGCCGCCGCCCCGCCCTCCGCTCCGCCAGGTGGGCGAGGAGGGCAACGAGGAGCTGCGCATCCTGTCCTCGGGCTTCAACAAGGTGGTGTACCGAGGCATGAAGTGGCCGGTGAAGCACCTGTCGCTGGCGGGCCTCCTGCCGGACACGCACCACTACATGACCTACGACGGCTCCACGACCCACCCCGGCTGCTGGGAGACGTCCACGTGGCTCGTCATGAACAAGCCCATCTACATCACCAAGCAGGAGGTAATAAGCAAGTTCAAGAAAGGCGTAGGGGAATAGAAAGGTAGTATTAAGGTATAAGACAGCAAAAAGATAAAGAGATAAATTGATAAACAGAGAGAAAGTTAGATAGATAGATAAATAGAGAGATAGATAGACAGATAGATAAAGAGAGAGATAGGAGAGTGAAACCACGTGGCCAATTAGAAAGCGAGCGAGAAAGCAAAAGCGAGAGCGAGAGGCGGAGAGCGCCAGCAATTTACCCCGTGCCCGGACGGCGCTTCCAGGAGCAGAGACCAGGGGCGCCGTTTTTCTTCCCGAGCGCGTTAATTGCAGTCAGAGCCTCCTTTTGTTGCATGCAGGAGCTGATATCAGATTAGTCAGAGCCACCAGCCGGAAGCACGTTATTTAACACAATTCTTGGAATATTCATTACTCTAAATGTCTTCCTCGAGCGAGCGGCTGCGGGATCTCGTTCCCTCCGCCTGCAGTTGGCGCTCCTCGGAATTTCGCTTTGATGTATGCCCGCCATTATGTGCGGATGTGCGTGCTCTCGTGTGCGGCTGTGTGTGTGTGCGTGTGTGTGTGTGTGTGTGTGTGTGTGTGTGTGTGTGTGTGTGTGTGTGTGTGTGTGTGTGTGTGTGTGTGTGTGTGTGTGTGTGTGTGTTTTAATGTACTATGTGTGTGTGTCTGTGCTGTGCTGAATGTGTATGTGTGTGTGCATTCGTGTGTGCTAAATTATTACAGAAAGTCACTGTCCTTTTGCGTCCAAAAAATTCGTTCCGATACTTTGCTCTCCTGCCTTTTGCCGGAGTGGAAGGATCAAGTAACTCCGCTTTACTGCAGACTGAAAGTTGAGTTGTGTGCATTGTCACTCCAGCGCTTCTTGAGAGAAAGTTGTTTTGCACGCACTGCTTTTCAATGTTCGTATCATGTATAACTCAAATGACTTGCTTTATAGGAGCGAAAAAGAATGATTCTAAAAAAAATGTATGCGTATATTCTCTTCCATGCGTCCATATGTGTAACAAATTACAGTGACAGAAGGATTTCGTTCAGAACTATTAGACAAAAGCCTGGGCACGCATGGGTGTAACGAGAATATAATGGGGTTTGCAATGATCATTATCACATGCAACAAGAACCTACAATTTCACCTTTGCTCTGTGGAGAGAAAGCGAGAAGAGAAGAAAGAAGAAAGATGTCAAGGAGGTATTGACACAAGGGAGAAAAATGGAAAAGAGGTGTTGAGAAAGAATTGCATATAAAAACAAGGCTGGAGAAAAAGAAACGTGTAAAGGAAGTGTTGATGCAAGAAACAAAATGTGCGAAAGAGATAAAGAGAATACAGAGACAAGACTAAGAAAAAAAAGTAAGGATTAGAAAGGAAACCAAAACAGAGAGAAGAATATAAATAAAAATATTCATACATGGCATGTTAATAAGTTGGTAAGTTACAAATGATTTCCCTCACAAGGAACAAAGCCACTCCCGTTCCAAGAAAAATGACAATGGACAAAAGGGGGAGTACAAGAAAAAGTACTTATTAGTATATTGCAGTTTCAGTAACCCAAGATGCTATATCTCCCCTTTCAATGAGATTAAACGGAAAATAACCTACATTAGATATGAGGAAAAAAAAAAGGAGTCGAGGGTAACAGACACAGTGATATATGTGCAAAGACGGGAATTGTGGAGGTTGGCGTATTAGCGTAAGGAACTGCGAAGGGAAGAAGGGAAAGGGAGAGACGGAGAGATGAAAGGGAGACAAAAAGAAAGAACAAGAGAAA